ATATAAATTGTGAGCAACTACAAAAAAATGATTAGACAACTCGTTAGATTTATGCTAAGGAGCGAATTGATCAGCTAACAAATTAAGAGTTTGAATTAACATAGACTTGAAGAGCCTACACTAGTAGAAAAACATGTTTGCGCGACGGAATCTTGCGCGACGCAACAAATTTTGTTGCGCAAAGTATGTTTGCGCGACCCTAAACACCAAACGTCGCGCAAAGGACGTTTGCGCGACGGTACTTTGCGCGACGAACGATAACGTTGCGTAAAGATGTTTTGCGCGACGCATAACTTTGTCTGTCGCGCAAACTACCTTTGCGCGACGTTTGGTGCGTCGCGCAAGATCTTGGCGCCAAATAAAGAAAGTTTCCCCCTTTTTTTACAACTTTGTGCGACGCACGTGCATGTACGTCGCGCAAAGACGTTTTACGCGACGCAAGTGAAACATCTTTGCGCGACGTACGTTCACTTGCGTCGCGTAAAACATCTTTGCGCGACGTACATGCACGTGCGTCGCGCAAAGTCAACGACTTTTTGTACTTCACTTATTCAGTTTGGGAGGCAGAAACTGCAAACTCAGTTGCAGCAGCTACCTCCATCCCCCATTTCTCTTCAAAACCTTCTCCAATCTGTCCCTTGCTCATAAATTCAACATATAAATATTTCATCTCTTTTCATCATGCAATCTATCCTTTGCTATTTGATGGTCTTTGATTTGGAGTAAGCAAATCTAATTTAGCTGTTGAGAATTGAAGTTTTGTTTTTTTTTTCATAAACTTGAATTGAATACTTTTGATGGCTTATATATATGAAGGTTTCAATCATTTGTTTTGAATGTTTATTGTATAACGGTATAGAATCAGTTGAATTTTAATGAGAGAATGCTTGTTATTTGGATTGTGTTTAGTGGTTTATTGAACAATTTATTAGGATATGCATCTATATGCAATCTGCTTCAAAGTTGTTGACTTGCCTTCAGTCACTAGGAAATTTGTAAGTCTTGGGGTCGTCGTAGTTACAACAGAGACAAGATGTCTTCCCTATTAGTTTTTTTGTTTTCAGAAGACAATGGTAGTGGACATATGCAACGATAAGATATGCAGAGAAAAGAATGCTATAACATTAGGGTATATTTTTTTCATTTTTCTTTTGGTTCTACTGAGATCATTGGTATCCATGTTTCCTTCATTTTATTAGACAGTCCGGTTAAGGATATTCTTTTATGTAGACCAACTTGTTTATAATAACCAGATTTTACCACGGTAATATACATTTTAGTTTTTACAGTAAATTGGGTTTTCATTTTCGACTTTTATTGCCCATGTTAATTAGCACACTCTTACACTGCTCTGGTAATGTTCATCACAGGGACCCATGAATGCTTGTTATTTGTTACAGCTTTACACTACAATGATAAAAGAAAATTGTGGTAATGTTCATCACAGGGACCCATGAATGCTTGTTAATTAGCACACTCTTACATTTTAGTTTTTACAGTAAATTGGGTTTTCCTTTCCTTCATCTTGTTTCTGATAAAAGAAAATTGTAGTAAAGAATCGCATGTGTGTATGAAACTTCACAACAAAGCCTCTTTCCCCTAAAGTCTCGTCTCTTCTACCTTTTTAATCTTTTATGTATGAGTTTCATAGTTCTGCAACTGATGCTTGCTTTGTAAGAATTCATGTGATTTCATCCTTCATGAATTCATATATGTGAGTTCATCAAACTGCCGATTGCAGCTGAACTTGGTAAATGAGCTGTATATGGTTAGACTTCTTAAGGTTTTATATTCGAATGAAGTATAACATACTGGGGAGGAAAATGTGATTAAGCCATGTTTGAATTAATGAAGAACAGTTGGCTTAATAATAACTGAAGATAACTGCATTATTAATGGGATAAGGCAGTTATCATAAATAGAATGGGATTGGTCCCTCTTCTCGGTATAAATATGGATGATTCACAGTTAAGTAAGGTTGCCCCATTTGAAACCTAATACATCCATTGTAGTTGTACAAGAGAAGGGAAGATACATCCTAATACAGATCATGGTTTCAAGTTCGTTTGCATGCTTATTCATGTATATCAGTCCATGCATAGATTTGGTATAACTGGGTTCTGCCGCTCAAGCGGTGGTCTCTGCCGCTCAAGCTGTAGTATGACTGGGTTCTGCCGCTCAAGCGATAGTCTCTGCCGCTCAAGCTGTAGTATGACTGGGTTCTACCGCTCAAGCGGTAGTCTCTGCCGCTCAAGCTGTAGTATGACTGAGTTCTGCCGCTCAAGTTGAAGTATGACCGGGTTCTGCCGCTCAAGCGGTGGTCTCTGCCGCTCAAGCTGTAGTATGACTGAGTTCTGCCGCTCAAGCGATAGTCTCTGCCGCTCAAGCGGTTATCTATTGCAGTAAATCTTAGTGTTTATCAAATATGCCATTTGTGTTGATTTACATGTAGTTTAGTAACTTGATTGATTGGATCCTAAATTATATTATTTCTAATATGCCTATCCATGTTTCTGGTTTGTGATATTTTTTTTAGACCGCACATCATCAATTATGCACCATTCAGCCAAGTTTTGCATGACAAAAGCCCGAGCGTTTGAAGTAACACGGGAGATGGTAGAAGAAAAAGAGAGAAAAACTACTTAGGTCAATCTGGAAGATGGAAAGACGATGGCATTCTGGCAAAAGCACTTCCTACCAGCAATATTTTCTCTGACGGATCGAGCCTGTAGTTCAACATGGAAGATAAATTGTAACTTTGTAGGTGGCGCTGCTGTTACTTGTATGCCATCTTTCGTCATACGATTTCATTTGTGGAGTTAGCAGAACTTGTTCCATTAGTTCTTTTCAATCTTCAGCATTATCCATTATTTATTCCAAATCAATAAATTTCAGTCTGTATATTCTCAGTAATCATTTCTCACTTCATATTATTTCGGCATTATGTATCTGCATCACTATATTCGCTGAATGCGGCTATTTTCCTTATAAAAACTTGATTACTAAACGCTGCAACGTAGCTTCAGGTTTTTAATATAATCTGTAACTGGAAAGATATGCAGGTTTTGCACAAACATACTTAAAGTAACCTTTAAACTGTTATACATTTTTTACAATAACACTCAATCGCATAGAAGATCAAAGTAACATTTGCATTATACGAATCAGATAGATTATACGAAGCATATACAAACAAGTTTGACGGTTGGATCGTTGAAACTAGTTTCGTACAATGCGTATCCCATCAAAACATTAGATTCACTAACACTTGAAGTTTATTTACACCTTCATTAAGTATAACATAAGATTTTATGGTATCCACTTGTGTCAATGTTTCAAATTGACGATCGGATTGGTTGATTGTATTCATATAAGGTTAAAGAGCGTAGCTGTAAAAAATCATCAAGATCGGAGTTAAAATAACCGTTAAATCGTGATTTTTCGTTTATATCCGTTGAAATGTTTTGTCCCATTACTTGATCTCTGAATGTTTTTTTTTACGATTTTTGGTGTATACGATCTCGAAGCATATACAAACAAGTTTGACGGTTGGATCGTTGAAACTAGTTTCGTACAATGCGTATCCCATCAAAACATTAGATTCACTAACACTTGAAGTTTATTTACACTTTCATCAAGTAAAACATAAGATTTTATGGTATCCACTTGTGTCAATGTTTCAAATTGACGATCGGATTGGTTGATTGTATTCATATAAGGTTAAAGAGCGTAGCTGTAAAAAATCATCAAGATCGGAGTTAAAATAACCGTTAAATCATGATTTTTCGTTTATATCCGTTGAAATGTTTTGTCCCATTACTTGATCTCTGAATGTTTTTTTTTACGATTTTTGGCGTATACGATCTCGAAGCATATACAAACAAGTTTGACGGTTGGATCGTTGAAACTAGTTTCGTACAATGTGTATCCCATCAAAACATTAGATTCACTAACACTTGAAGTTTATTTACACTTTCATTAAGTATAACATAAGATTTTATGGTATCCACTTGTGTCAATATTTCAAATTGACGATCGGATTGGTTGATTGTATTCATATAAGGTTAAAGAGCGTAGCTGTAAAAAATCATCAAGATTGGAGTTAAAATAACCGTTAAATCGTGATTTTTCGTTTATATCCGTTGAAATGTTTTGTCCCATTACTTGATATATGAATGTTTTTTTTTTACGATTTTTGGTGTATACGATCTCGAAGCATATACAAACAAGTTTGACGGTTGGATCGTTGAAACTAGTTTCGTACAATGCGTATCCCATCAAAACATTAGATTCACTAACACTTGAAGTTTATTTACACTTTCATTAAGTATAACATAAGATTTTATGGTATCTACTTGTGTCAATGTTTCAAATTGACGATCGGATTGGTTGATTGTATTCATATAAGGTTAAAGAGCGTGGCTGTAAAAATTCATCAAAATCGGAGTTAAATTAACCGTTAAATCGTGATTTTTCTTTTATATCCGTTGAAATATTTTGTCCCGTTACTTAATCTCTGAATGTTTGTTTTTTTGCAATTTTTTGTGTATGCGATCTCGAAGCATATACAGACAAGTTTGACGGTTGGATCATTGAAACTAGTTTCGTACAATGCGTATCCCTTCAAGTTCAATGGTATATATAGTTACAAAGTAGATTTTAATTTATTTATTTTGTACTTATAACACTTATGAAATTGAATGATATATATATAGAAAAAATTATTGTGGGTTTTTGTTAGCAAAATATATTTTTGTGGGGTTTATTTAAAAAAAATAGTTTTGAAAGAAGGAAAATCACATTTTCAGTAATTTTTATAATAATTTTGTTTTTTGAAAAAATACTTTGCGCGACCCCTTTATGTGTACGTCGCGCAAAATCACTTTGCGCGACGTCAAATTGTATAACTACGTCGCGCTAGTTGTGATAAATTTGGCGGTCCAACAGTGAAATATGGGCGCTTTTTTTTCAATTTTCCAACTTTTGACAAAATAATTGAACCATCCCTCCCAAGAACTTGTCCTTCCCAGTATTGGAGTTATTAAAAAAAGCTGAACCTTCAAGCTCTTTTTTTAATTTTCCCCGTAGACCCAGATCTTGAACCCTCCCTCCCAAATCTTGAACCCTCCCTTTTTTTTTCCCCTTACACCCCAAATCCCCCTCTCTTTCTTTCCCTATTTCTTTCCCCGTTGACCCCAAATCCTGTCTTTCCTCTTGGGTTGTCGAACCCAGACCTTGAACCCAAGCCGCCACGGGAATCTCGAAGCCGACGCGAATCAAGTCCCAAAATCAAGGTAAGGGTTTCTTCCCATCCTGTTTTCAATGTTTCTATTTTCCCTTGTATACTGGGGTACATATGGTTTTCGATAATCCATTTGCTGTCGTTTGAAGTGTAAGTTTTATGTTTTTTACTTGTTTTATTCACTGGCCTTTTATCGAAATTTACATCAATTTTTTACTTTAATACCTATTATTTGGCATTTTGGAAGTTGGCTGGGAAGCTAATTCATAACCTCTGTGTTCTAAAGTTTATTGGCAGAGATTTGATGCTTCATCCAATCAACTTCACTTTATTTCTCATAACCGAGTATTGTCCGGGAAAGATCTAACAATCTAATGGTCTTGTGGTTCCTTGTATGTTGGAAATATATTGACAGTCCCCTCAGGTCTAGCGTAGAATTTTCCCCCGTCTAGCCATTGTGTTTTCAATGGGATTGGTCAAGTAGACGTGAATCCTTTCTTTCTGTTTCTTTTCAGTGTCCCCCTTAATCTCAATTAATTAATGCAGAAGTTCAGCAGTTATTCTGCCATGTTTGGAGTGAATTCTCTGATTTTCTCTTTTATATTTAAAGTGAGCATTTTCTCTCTTTTCATTGTAGATATGTAAATGATGGGAGACCCTTCTGGCAATATATAGTCAGTTCTTCCACTGGTTGTTCTGATTCTCAGTACTTTGAAGAACTTTATAACTACTATACGACTGACAAGGTTGGGTGATTTTTAAGTACCATTTTCTGTATAGGTATAGCAATATAGAGGTATGAAGTGGGTTATAATATTTTTCTTTGTTTTCTCATAGGCTTGGCATCTCTGTGATCCTGATGCTGAGAAGGTGTTTGAAGCTCTGAGGAAAGCAGGTGTTAAAGTAGGTGTTGTATCAAATTTTGATACCCGATTAAGGCCTCTTTTACACGCTCTACATTGTGAACATTGGTTTGATGCAGTAGCAGTGTCAGCCGAAGTAAGTGAATTGCTTAGAAAATTTCCTTAAGCAGACAATATGACCGAGAGAGGATACAGTAGTTGAAAACAGACAATATGTCCTATGATCTTGAGTAGTACGAGTGTTGCAAAAGTTGGTGAAACAATTTAGGAAAATCCGAGGCTTTAAGTTTGCATGCGGATAGAGGTGGTTTTGTATGCTTATTTGAAGACCAAATATAAATAATATGTATGTTTATTGTGACTCCCACTGCAAGTAATTTAAGATAAAGACCGGTAATATATATAAGCAAAGAGTTCCTTTTTTCCCTTGGTGTATGGTTGAACTTCCTTTTCGTTCGCTGTAGTTTGTTTAATGTTTTGACTCCGTCTTTGTGCTTTCAATTTGAACAATGATACGAAATATCGCTAGGCGTGGTTTACTAAAACATCATATTTTATTTACAGGATAAGTCTTTCATATATCTAGCCGGCCTACTACAGGTAAAATGTGTGCAATCAAAGCATTCCATCTAACCATAGATGTTGAAGAACTATAGTTGTTTACTTTCCCCAGGCACTAAATTCTAAATGTTGTTCTCTCTTTCAGTTTTATTTTATTATTCTTTTTTATTTTCATGTTATTTCTTTTTCAAGTATTGCATTGAAAGGGTTTACCTTTCCTACTTAACACTCTCCAATTATAATGCGGAACAAGAAGATTCATTTCATTCCTACTTATAGATGTCGAAGTTGATTACTCGTCGTCGGAGTGTGATCAATGCGCCTCCCACATTATCAGCATCTACTGCTCCAGCCGTGAGTGCTCCATTAATTGGGGAGCCTACACCCAATGTTGAGGCTACTTCTACGGCGTCCCAAGTGCCCGTCTCATCGACGTCATCAGTGTCCGTTGAGTCGCTCAGTGCACGGCGGCCTCACCGACGCTGCCGTGACCCAGAGCCTTCTGATCAGACTTCCTCGGCATCCAGAGTTGAGGGTGAGGCCTCCCAGCCACCGGGTAGTTTTTTCTAATTCTCACTACGTTGTATTTTTTTTTCATTTTAAAACTATTATTTTTATGATGATGAAAATTTGCTGGATTGTGAAAATGTGTTACGGGTTGTGAATTACTATTATTTTACTGTTTTAATGTTTTGGGAAATGTTATACTACTAGGGGAGGTTGTGTCGAATTTTTTGTACAAATTTAAGCTTAGGGTTTTCACCATTTAAGTATTTTTGGCCAGCTAAAAAAAACACCAGGGGGCCTAGTCGAATGCTGAAGGAGTTACAGGGCGTACGTCAAAACAACTCCAAGATCAAGATTGTGTATGACCCACAACATTGTGGAGCGGCTACCAAACAGCAGCATAGCGGCGTTGCTAGTAGCTGTGGTGTTGTTATTCGAGATAATTGTCCTTTTCAGCGAGAGTCTTGGGCAAAAATTCCTGAGGAGACGAAGATATTGGTGCGACACAAGTTGTCGGTTAGTATATTAATTTTTAGCCTTTTATCATTTTTTTAATTTCGTTTACAAATATTAAAAACCAAAATATATTATCTTAATATTATTACATTTGTTACTATTATTTTATTCTTTTTCATATTCGTAGTGCGTTTATGATCTTGAGGATGTATCCCCTGAGGTCATGGTCTACTTAGAGGAGACCTTAGCAACCCGGTACAAACAATGGAAGAACAATTTTCACAAGCATTTTAAGCGATGGGATGATCCGGAGATTGCTCGCCTACATGTTCCAGATGAGTTGAAGGACCGACCAGAGGATTGGGAGTGGCTCTGCAAACATTTTACGGACCCAAAATTTGTGGTATGTATATAATATTTTAATAATAATTTATTATTGTAAATGTTATTTTTTAAGCATTTTTTATTAATTTATTTCAAATAGTCGCACTAACATGTATATTGTGTGTTTAACAGAAGAAATCTATTGCTGGCCAGAAAGCTCGGGAGTCAAAGACACTTCTCCACCATTCTGGTTCGCAGCCCTTTTCGTATAGGCTTGAGGCACGACGTGAGGTAAAAGTATATTAACTTTGAAATTTTATACAATTTAATTTTTATTATTGATTAATAAAATTTCCTTAATGTTTTTTTCTTTAGGAGGGTTCTAAGTTCCCAGAGATCGACATGTTCAAGGACGTTTACGTTCGACCTGGTAATGAGACCACTAAGCAGCTTCATGTAAGTATATGTTATTATTCTTATATGTATGAATCGTTCAAATATTATTTTATATTTTGGTATTAAACATTATATGTTTTTTCTTTATTATTACAGGTTACTATGGAGGAAAAGAGCACTGCTGTTCTCCATGAAGCAGCATCGCAGCTTCCCCCCGGAGACCCCGATCGAGGACGTCATAGTACCTGAGGATGCAGGTTTTCAGATCATGACTGATGTCCTGAATCAGAACTATGGTCATCGTCGTGGCAAGGTTGTTCGGGGTATGGGGAAAGCGCGGATTCGTGAGACAGGTGCTTCTTCTTCTAGATCGAACACAGCAGAGGTCGATGCATTGAAGGCGGAAGTGATGCAGCTGAGGACTGAGGGCGCGCATATGAAAGTTCAGCTGAGGGCCCAGGCCGAGGAGCTGAATACCTGTGTCGGGAGGGTGCAAGAACTTGTACAAGCCATACAGACGTCCGGCCTCCAAATCTCGCTACCAGTACCTCATCATGCTCCACCTTCGACCTCAGAGCCACCTTGCCTTGCCGATACCGAGTAGCTTGATATATTAAACCTAGGTCACTTGTAGTTTTTTTTTTTGTTCGGACATCTTGTATGTACATTTTTCAGATATTTTATAATTAAATACTTTTGCTTGGTTAATTAATTATTCTTTATAATTTAATTACAATATTTATCAAAAAAAAATTAAAAAAAAATTATTTTTCACTAATTTTAAAAAAATTAAAAAAAAAGGGTTTGCGCGACGTACGCGTAGGATGTGCGTCGCGCAAAGTATCTTTGCACAACGTAGGACACGCGTTGCGCAAAGGTACTTGCACGACGTACAATGTGCGTCGCGCAATCATACTTTGCACGACGTACAACGTAGACAGTGCGTCGCGCAAAGTACTTTGCACGACGTAGGTTGTGCGTCGCGCAAAGTACTTTGCGCGACGCAAGTTATTTTTCGTCGCGCAAACCCTAGCGTCACGGCCTTGGCGCGACTATTAGTGCGCGACGAAGTGTACGTCGCGCAAACCTTTGCGCAACGATATTTACTTTGCGCGACGAATATACGTACGTCGCGCAAAGTGTTTTTTTTACTAGTGCTAGTGTTACAGGATGCTCGACTGTTGCGGATTATTTTCTTCTTCTTTTTTTCTTTTCATAATCTGCTAGCTAGTTAGTTTTCAAGTAGTAGCAATGGTTTGAAGGGTGAAGTGCCTTTAGTCCATGAACTATCACCTCAGTGAAAATTCATTAAAAATTGCTAATTTCATCCCTATTATTATATTCAAAACTATTTTATCCAATTTTTCATCAACTTAAGTCACTTGACACACTTTAGAATGTAATACCGTTATTTTCTCGCCTATAAGCCTTTAACATTTCATATAGGTTGCGACTCTATCGTCTAATTTACTCTCCAAAGTTAACTTACACTATTCTTATGAAAACTACCAATTTACCCTCCAAAGTTAACTTCATACACCATTTCTTTATGAAAAACTACTAATCTACCCTCCAATGTGTATCACATGCAAGTAATGTGACTTAAATTGACAGAAAATTGAATATAGTAGCTTTGGATATAATCTTAAGAATGTAATTGCCAGATTTTTATAATTTAAGGATTGATTTTTCTGAAGGAAAAAAAAAAAAGTTTAGCGTCCTAATTTTCACTAATGTGATAATTCATGGACTAAATTGGCAGTTCACCCATGATTTGAATATTCCCATTCCAACATAACTGGAAAAAGAAGAAGAAAAAAAACAGATTAGTTGGGTACAAATTTCATATTAGGAAATAGAAAATACACCATGAAAATTTATTAGGGTTCATGCACCTTCTCAAGAAGTCCAACCTAGGAATGTCTGGATTTGTACATATCCTTTGCATGGAATCCTAATTAATTAGATATATATATATATATATATATATATATATATATATATATATATATATATATATATATATATATATGGTATATGTCCTGGAGGAAGGATGAAAAACCAGTCCTTATCCCGACGTCCCATCTTTCCTTTGGGGACGCCCTCCTCTGAAAGAAAGCACGAAAGAGGAAGACATAATAGGTATTTTAATTAAGAATTTACCTTGTATAAAAGAATTTAAGAACTTACCCTGTATAAAAAAATTAAGTATTTACCAAATAAATCAAACAATGAATCTACCTGAAGAAATTAAGGTCCATTCATATTGACAGTCTGGTATAGTTGGCAAATTAACTGTCAAGCATAAAAGCATTTCTTTATTTATGCAGATTTCCTAATGTGATTAGCTGATACAATGTTTTGGGTCATCGCCTAATCAGGTTATTTGTTTTGGTGCAAATGGAGCCAATCCAAGAAGGAAAGAATAAATTATTAAGAGGTTTACATATATAATACAAATGCCTAAAACAACTGTGGTAATTCTTGAGAAGTAAACTGAAAATGCGTAGGGTAAAACAAAATAATATCAAATGCAAAAAGAGGGGGAGGCAAAGTAGTGTTTGAAAATTACAAGTAAAGGACTAACATAGCCTTCATTAATCAGGCTTTTGTCTCTGTTTTTCAGACTTTTTCACATTACTACCAATTCATAATGCCAAACTATTAATTGACAATGAAGTAACCTTAAAATTATACGAAAATATAATTAATTTTGTTTTGTCAACCACTCCAAGATTATGAGAAATCCTACTTGAAGTGTAGACGTACCTAATGAACCAGTAGGGTTTTCACTAAAACATTCATAATGGACAAGTAAGGTTTAAGTAAAAGGGCAGCGCCTATAAGGCTATCCGCTTTGCAGACCGGAGGAGGGGGAAGGGGAACATCTATCATCCGCAGTCTTACCCTTGTTTGCAAAAGAGCTGTTTCCATGATTCAAACCATGACATTCCGGTTGCAAGAGAGCAACTTTTTCGTTACGCCACGGCTCATAAGTAAGGTTTAACTAATTAAATAATTTAAATTCAACCACTGGCAAGGAGTCAACACATTAAAACGTCTAAAAAAAAATATAGCCGTCCATATTATTAATTTCTCTCTTTCAGACTACAAAAATGTGTTCACTGCTATAAGAAAAGAAGACTACGCAAATAAATCCCCGTGCACAAAGCATGGATGTGTATGTGTACACAAAATTGAACTACTACACCAAGCTAGCTAGCTAGAGGATCATGAAGTTTCACATGAACTTGTTGGCGGACCCATCTGGGTTCTGCTGATCAGACTCATCAAAGTCATTGTTGATCATCTCCAGAGGATTCATATCCATATGATCATTCATGTCTATAATGTTGTTCATGCCATTGTTGTTCATGCTCATGTTGTATGTATCCGCATTGTTCATCATGTCCACAAAGGACTGTCCAGCAGCATGTTGGTTCAGATCATCAGTAGTTTGCTTCAGCACCAGGGTGTCAATGGGGCTGGCCGGCTGGTTGAATTGATAAGCAACCCCAAATCCAAGGCCAGGCTGGTTCAGACTCAAATTGGTCATTTGATGATAATTTGGAGGCCTGAAGGCCTCAGCTGCTCGTTGTTGTCGAGTTGCTTCATAGAGCTGAAGCAACGAGTCCTTTTCTCCCTTCAATAAGTCATGTTCAGCTGCATATAAGACCCAAGATTTAAGAACACACCTTTCTAATTGACTAATTCATATGTCATTCAAGAATAAAACTATTGGTCCAACTTCATCACGTGATCAATTAAGATAGTACAAATAGCTATAGTACTCGTACGCTTTATGAGAGAGAGAGAGAGAGAGAAACCTCTTTTGTACATATATTCGCCAGATTTGGCATCAACCATTTGCCTCATTGTATTGTTTTCGGCTCTGAGCAGCATATTACGCTGATCAGCGAATTTGACTCTTGGAGCCTTGATAGCTACTTCAGTCTGCACATGAATATATATGTACATATAAAAGCATGCAACAATTATAATTTTTATATAAATTAAGTCATACACAAAAACTCATATATAATTAAGGAGCAAGTCGGGTTCACATGTGATATTTACTTGAAGTGCCTTCAGTTCGTTTTCGAGTTGCTCAACATAGCTTGCCTGCTTCTGTCGATACCTTTGTGAGTACTGTCTGCTAGCCAAAAGTCTAGAGAAAACAGATCAAATATTTATGTAATTAATTTATAAATAATTAAAAACAATACGAAAATGAAGGTTTCTATAGTAGATCTTTATAATACGATGTTCTTTATGTTTAAGTACTTATATGGAAAATAGCTAAATTTTTTGGAGGAGGGAAATTGTTTGAGAGTGTAAATTCCTACATCGGAAATGTCAATGCTCTACAATGCATCGTGAGCCTGTACATTCATTACCAATTGGTTTTGGGCTAGGTCCTTCAATTTCAACCAAAATAGCCAAAGTTCAAATTTCCAACGATCGATTTGATTTTCCAAAATATATAGGGAAAAGAGATCTAGAAGGCTAGATAATCAACCTTTTGAGCTTTTTCTGGTCCATGTTAGATTCTTCAGGGGGTGGTGCAACTCCTTTAGCTTTGTCTACGTCGCCATTGATCTGATAGGATGGTGGTGCCAATCGAATGGTGATAGAGTCGTTGTTTGAGATCTGAAGCCCTAAATGTGATGATGGAAGGGTTGGGAGTGGTGGCATCTTCATGTTTGTCTTCTCGTTGAAGCCCTCCATTATTTATATGTTTACCTAGAACAAAATCCAAGCAGTTGCCATAGAGTTAGTGAAGAAGAAGCTGCAAACTTAACCAATGAAACATAAAAAGTAAAAAGATCCTATAAACACTAACCTCACAAAAGAAAGAAATGATCAGAGCACGTAAGCAAGTGAGTATTAGGGTCTGGTACGTATATGTGACAAAGGGGAACAACAAGAGATGTCTTGGATAGGATCGAGCTTGTTTCTCTATAGATATCACATTGAGCTCGTAATTTAATTAGAGCAACCACTTTGTGACAACCCAATTAGGTTTTCTCATCCGTAATACATTCCTATTTTGCAAGAGGACAACTAAAGATGATGTATGATAGAGTAATAGAGTTCCCAATTACAAAACATGAAAATTAATTGTTACTATTACGCGGCTAAAATGAATGTCTGATAAAGCACTTATAAGTGAGAAGAAAGTATTGTATACATTTTGTAAACGTGTTTAGTGCATATTGCGAATGGTAAAAGATTTTAGCATCTCTTTATTTTATAAACTCACCACATAATTAAGGGTGTGGT